TGCACATTTTAACAGTAATGCTGAAACCATATATTGTGCAGCTTCCTTCTCTTGTTGCTCCTCGAAGAATTTAACACTCACACGTTTAGCCACGGCCATGACGCTGCCCTCATCTGACATTTGACCCGCCGTCTTCCTCCTTGTGTTGACCGACCGGGAATTTATGTGCAAGAGGAAAAAAACCTCCTCGGCACGTCGTGTGATGTCTCAACCTGAGAGCTGCCCAGGCGAGAGGCTTTCCGGCTCCGCTCGCCATGACAACAGCCGCCGCACTGAGGTCACTTCCTGCAAATTTCATCTGGAGCTTCCTGCTCTGACCCACAGCGGGTTATGTTTTATTCACAGGACAAACATCGATCCCCCGGCCAGCAGCTGTCTGACGGAGCGAGCTCCACGTGCAGGCTTTGGTTTCGGCCTCATCACACTTTCATGAGGATCCAGCGGCGGCAACGAAGCTCCTCAAGACGCCGCGAGCTGCTCTGCTACCATCAGCTCTGACTTCAATCTAACAGAACGGTGCCACAGACGATCAGACTGGACTAAAAGCTTTCTTCATCTGCCAACAGTTTGAATTCATGAAAGGCCCACTTTGGTTTTTCATAATTCATGCATAAGAGAAAGCACCAGAGGAGGGCGGGGGGAGATCAGGGGGCCCGATAGGAAAATACCTGCACTAATGAAGTCTGTCTTCACTGCTGAGGGAGAGACTTAAACAAGGATCTGCTCGTCAGAGAGCAACCTGATCTCCAACACACACCTCACATAGGACCACATGCATGCACACTGAGCTCCACACTTTCAACAAGTTCTCATAAGAAGCTTCAGAAAACGGCCGAAATCTTTGCTTTTCTGACTTTGATTCAGCTGGTTTATTGTGCTCATGTGACAGAAACGAAGGTTTTAAAGAGACAGAATCATACTGACCTCACTCCTAGTAAAAAGCAGAGGCACTTCTATCACCGGCCTCAGAACCACGTGCAGATATTCCACCAGGATGGCTTGAAACAGACAGAGAAGGCGGCATTAGCAGCAGCTCACCGCTTCTTAAAAACAAATACAGCACGAAGGAAGCCAAGAGAGGGAACAGGAGACGAGCTACCTGCTGAATAGACGAGTGAAACCGGCAGATTTATCACCGGCCTGCTGTGGCCGAGCTGCTCAAACTGTCGGGAGAGAAATGAAATATAACAGAGGGAATTACAATCAGACTAGTTTCAACCAAACGCTAATCAAATTCTGTATTTTTCAAGTTGCCAACAAATCCTGTTAATTCTTTGAAATTGAAGCAAATTTTTTGGACAGTTTTCTGTTACTGCTGGAAACAGAACAACCAGAAGTGAAGACAACCTCAAACAGTCTTCTGTGCAGTTTGACACAAACATGGCAGAAATCATGAAAAGTGTTTTTAAAAAAAAATTAAAAACGAAAGCTGAGCTTTAGTTTTTGTGCAAAAGTTGAGAAAACTGGGTTCAGCTTGCACAACATGTTTCTACATTTTCAGTTCGTTTCCTTTCTGTCGGCTCTTTAAAAACAGTTCAAACGAGTTCTGATGAAAAGTCTGAAGTTTTTGTGGCCGTTGGTTGCAGACGAGTCACAAGTTGTGAAGATGTTTGCAGATTTTGTTGGTTTTCACAGAATCTGGTCAGAGCGCACCGTCTAGTTTTGGCAAATTGGTAAATATGCACACAGAGAATAAAAAACTTTAATGAAAAACACAATTAGAAACCCAGATTTGGTTGAAATGAGCAGATGATTTATTGAAGGACTGTCAGAAAGTTAAAGTCCAACGATTCTTTCTGGGTTTGTTTCGTGGCGTCATTTTGGCAATTTCTTGAACAAACCCACCATCGAGTTTTAGGTTTCAGAAAATACCAAAACTAAGAAAGCATTACTTCATGATTTCTTTACCCTTCCTCCCTCTCTGTGGTCTGCAGCCTCCACAGGGTAGAAATACATCGTTTTATTTCCTAAAGAATATGAGCGCTGCTTTTTTCATTTTTATTTTTTATTTTTTAGCAAATGTGAATCAAAAGGAGATTTGTCAGCCAGTGTTGGACAACATCAGACCTCTGAGCCACAGAGGAGGGACACTGATCACACAAAGAAACGGAAAAAAATCCACAGACGTTGCCGTCGACTCACCAAAGGCGTCAGCCACTCGAACAGATTGACTGAAACTCCATCATTGATGAAATAGGCCTGTCCGCTCTGCAAAAGGGCAGAAATGAACACGTTAAAGTGGAAACATCTGGTTTTATCTGAACGTAAGTGTTTGTTGGACTAAATCAGCTGTTGGATCGGGACCAGAGGGACACGTCAGCTTCACTCTCAGGGCCTTCATTTCACCATATTCAGGTCCTCTGTGTGGTTTTGTCATGAATCCGTGGATCTGACTCACGGCGACGCAGCTCTTCTTCAGTGTGAGAGCTTCAGCTGCCAGCGTGTGGGCCAGAACCAGGTTATCCACGTGGACCCAGTTCATCCGGGCCTGTGGGTCGCCGAACCTGAAGCTGAAGAGCCGACGTTCCACGTTCACCTGAACAGAAACACCGAGACGAGACGTAAGAGCAAGAACAAATTTGACCCTTTTTTAAAAACAGTAAACATGAGCTGAGCTTGTTCCAGAGTTACTGGTGGTTTCTGCATGTGTTGACTGGAATTTTACATCATGCATATTAAACATTTAGAGGTTCGTTTGCTACCTTTAAAACAAATACTGGCTTCAAATCATACAAATGGGCTTCAAAAATCAGTTTGCAGAGATTCACAGTGAGTTCTAACAGTTATTCTGTGTCTGACGTGAATAAGCTCCCAAACAGCAGCTGTATTAATGCAAAGTCTTGACTTTTTCACAGAAGCCACGGTTGGATACCAGAAGACTGATTCTTCTGCAGTAACGTTAATATATTGGAACCTGTTTGAGCAGTGCAAGTCTGTGCAATCACATCACAAGGCAACAGAAGGCCAACTTTGACTAGTTTAAATGAATATTTGCTCCACAGAGCGAACCTGTGGAGTCCATCAGTACAACTTTTATTTATCATGTAGAAACAAGCCAAGAAAACCTGCTCAGAGCGCCGGTGTGGAGCTTCATTCATTTTTATAGACCATAAAACAATGTTTAAAATATTTTTCATATTTTCAGTCTCAACAGACTTTTAAAGAATAAAACGACCATAAAATAGTTCTTACATTTTTATCTGTGTTTTTCTTACAAACAGTTAAGATATATTCTCAGACTGACAGTGTTTAATGATCATACTTTGAGTGATTTTAACACACATATGTCATATTTCCTGTATTAAACCTGTGGTTTGTTCACGTTTTGGACAAAACACGTGTCATCAAAATCCATTTTTTGTGCACGTTAACTCCAAACTGTGGATTAACTTTGCATCCTGAATATTAAAAGTCAGAACACAACCAAACGCATGCAGCCGTTCAGCAGGCTGCACTGAAGGAAAAACGCTGTAACTGGATGCCGCCGGAGCTCCATCAATAATGTAAAGTCTGCAGACAGGAGCACATTCTGCCAGGGAGGCTTCAGACACACTAAGATGTACATTTCTTTTTTTTTTTCCCCGGGGCCAACACAAAAGCATTAGTTCCTCACCATCACTCTGTGGAGGTGCCTCCTCTCTTCTGGTCCGTAGATGCCGCAGGGACGAAGGACGCAAGTCCGCAGGAGGCCTCCACCTTCAGAACACCAGATCAAAGCTGCGCTCTGTGAATGCACTCATGGACTTTTCTGTAAAACCACATCAAACTGTGGCAGCGGTCAGTTTCATCTACTCAGCACTCCAACGACACAAGCACGTCAAAAGTAATCAGCTAAAGTTTAGCAACGATCCTGCATTCAATCTCAAATTGTGCTTTAGAAAACAGGTACATGCATTTGTATATAATTTTTTCTTTATATAGGTTTGTACAGTTAAAAAAAAATATTTAAAAAAAATCTGTAGTTTTATGTAATATTTCTGTTTTATTTTACAGAATTTTCCGTATTTCTGGAACACACACTATTAATAAAATCACAAAACGTATACTGTGAATTTACATACCTAAGGTCGAATAAAAGTGAAAATCTGTACGGATCAGCAAACGAATCATGAATCTTCCACTGATTTATCACAATATCTGCGTAATCGTCTTCTGATTTAACCGTTTAGTTCAATTTGAACGCTGCATTTGAGTTGTAAACAGAAAAGAGTTTGTTGCTGTTTAACAAATACAGTTATTATCGTCATCTATGTGTCGTTTAGCGTCACCGCTCTCCGGCTATAGAACTATAAATATTCCAGCATTATATATTTCAGGCAGTTTAATTGTTTTTGCATATGTAAATATTCTCTATTAAACATTCAAAAGCCAAAAAAAAAAAGCAAATTTTCGTGTAAACTCAAGGCTGGACGATGTATTGTAAACATGGATAATTATTGCGTTTTTATGAAATGTTTTTTTTTAATTTTATGTTGCACTAGTTCTGTGGTGCATCCATAACATCAACATCTTCTTTACGCTTTTTTTTTCTTTTTTTTTTAGTGCATCATATGTTTTAAAATCTTAATCTAAAAATGAGCTCCTGGAGCAGATACGTGAACTTTGGCCTGCGGTATGTAACGAGACGGCTTTAAGCTTAATTGGATATATGATGGGGTGTCCTGTTACAGTAAAACGGGGCCTGACAGGCTTCACACCTGGTAACATAAAGAACGTCGTGGAACAGAAAACCCATTTTTAATGCATTAGACGATTGCCAGTATGTACATGTGTATGTTCTGCATGTGTGTGTGTTTGATGTTGCTGCTCTAAAATTAAACCGCTGTGTTGTGCATTGGATTGTGTGCTGAGTCTCCATGGCAACTGTTTCCTCAGTGTCTCTCTTTCGAGCACATTTTTACACGGAGAGCAGAAACGGCAGCATCTCCCTCCTAAAGCGTTCCACACCTTTCAGGGAGCATCCGTTGGCCGAGAGCACCATCTGCTCCGCGATGGCTTTGGTTCTGGAGTAGTGGTCGATGTGCTGCAACAGACACAAAACACCTCGATGTCGGGAAAGTCGTCGTCCCAAGACTCGGCACCGTCACAATGCGGGACCACCGATCAGCTTTTGGTGCCACATGTTGAGAAGAAGCTGTGTTCTCGCTCCACTCACCACATCAGGCGGCACGTATGGCACCGAGGCCTCGTCGCCGTCCTCGATGGGTTTCCCCGTGAACACCACGTTGATGGTGCTGGTGTAGACCAGTCTGGGGATGCTCCTCTCCTTACACACTGGAAACAGACAGAGGACATCTGGTTTTCATCTCTTTAGCAAAGCAAGCTGTGAAACTCTGAAACAAAAAGCACGCGTCCTCTCACTGATGGATCTCTCCTGAGGCTAAATGATGTTCTAAAAAAATCCTGAATTTGTCAAAGTGTGTGTGAGCTTGCTGCTCGTATTCTCACCGTTTATGACATTATTGGTTCCTCCAACGTTGACCGACTCCACCTGCTCTTTCCTCAGCTGGAGGCCACAAACAAGAAGAGAAAAACTTCTTAACTGCACGATCCAGCCCTGACGTTCGCCTCTGAGCTTACCTCACTTGTGATTGTGACGGATAAAAGAAACGACGGCTGACGGATGAATACTTTCTCAGGCGTGTGGCCAAACAAAAGACGAGGGCGTGAGATGAGTTTCTTTGTTTGTCTAATTGCTGGACAACGAAGGGTTTCAGGAGGCAGGTTTGGGAGCAAAACTGAACCCAATGAGTTTAATGAAATGTGCACGAACGAAATACTTTCTTAAACCTTGTGTACTGAGAAAAACAGCGAAACTGGGGATTCTTTATGAGTAAACTTTGTGTGAAATGCATCGTTTTACAGTAAACACTAAAACTGGAGAAGATATGCTGCAAGGAGAAAACAACAAGCAGTTTATCACGACCCACAGTTACACTTCCTCGTGACAGCGCCCTCTAGTGGCCGCAGTAGTTGTGTCGAGAATGTCGGGGTAAGTGAGGCATGTGAAGTTGGGGTGGATGGATGGGTCAACAAAACACAGAGGAGGCTGACGTTTCAGACGACTACAGCTCGTCTACTTTACCCTAACGAATGTGTTTTTGTCTTTAACGTGACAGGAGACAGATTGTAAACTGAAATATCTGCTCTATGTTTCCTGCACCAGCATCGCTAACTCGGGGAATGCTCCTATGAGAAATTAAGAACAAATAACTCGTTGTTCCGGTCTGCTGAGATAATTACCAACAGTTTTGTAGCTTGTCAGTCTGGGTGGTTTCAGCTCGTTAGTATTTTAACTGTGGACTCAAAACAAAGCTCCACAAAAGGCCGAGTGATTGAAACGTGACTGCAGTCTGTCTGACTTGTGTCGTCACCTGCTCTGGTCCGGACATGCCGTACGACGCTGTGTGGAAGATGCAGTCGGCCCCTTCACACACTTTATAGAGGGAAGAATAATCCCGAATGTCGCTCTGCAGGAAAAAAACACAAGACGATGATCAATTCCAGCTCCGAGGACACGACAGCTCTAAATGTTTAATCAGATTCAGCCACGAGAGGAGACAGATGGGGATCATCAGCGCACTTCTCCTGCAGCTGGGACTCATTTATTTTACACTTTTTAACACATAAGAGATGATTTCTCCGGACACGTCGGGGGCTTTGCGGGTTAAGCGGCACCACGGCGCGCCTGATTGAAAAAGTAACCCCTGAAAGGACAGTTATAATTAAGGTGAGTGTGCCGGTGAAACCTGAATCATGTCTCCACCCTCCGTGACCCAGGCAGCAGCTGGCGCTCTGAGACAGATCACTCACCTGTGTCTGATTCTGGCCGGCGTGCACTGACGCAAAGGAAACGCTAGAGTTGATTTTCAGGTCTGCACAGAGCCGTGTGGATTATGGCACATCATTATTTTATGTTTAAAAGGTCAGAATGACAATTAGAAAACTGAGATTGGCTCTGTTTTGGATTGTTAATTAACAGCAAGCGAGTGCAGATCACTGAGGTTGGACAAAATTTAAAAAGGTGAAAATCTGTTTCTTGTCACAAACTGTGTGAAGGTGGATTTCAGGCTGATAAAGGAGAGATTCAAAAACAATGACTGGAAGCTGAAAGTCAGTTTTGTTCACCAGTTATCCCAAAAGGCCTTTGTTGTACCTAAAGCGCCTTGTGTTCATGAGCCAAACGTGTTCTGATGTAAAATGCAAGAAAAAGGCAGCAAGTGACTGAATCAGAGTTATGAGTTAAACATGAGCAGCAGGAGATGAGCAGCCTCAGACCTGGTAGAAGACGGCTCCATCGGGGACGTCACCGGGAGGCTTGTTCAAGTCCAGCAGGACCACGGACAGCCCCTCGGCCAGCAGCTCTCTGCCCAGCCTGAAGCCGAAGTATCCCCCTCCTCCCGTCACCACCACCTTCCCCCTGGAGGCGTCCCGGCCCAGCGCCGCCTCCTCCCCCAGCCTGGAGGCCAGATACTCGGGGTTGCCGCAGGCGGCCGCCGTGGCCCCGTTGACCCGGTGCCGTACGGCCGGGCTGGAGGCGAGCGCCGGCGCCGGGTGGTTGACCCACGGCTGGTGGGTGAGGTGGGGGAGGTTGTGCACGTGGTGTCCGCCGGCCTGCAGGCGCCGAAGGGGGACAGCGTGGCAGGGAAGCTGCTTCAGCTGGCACAGGGGGCCTCCGGTCTCACTCATGTTGGGTCCACACAGCTCCATAGAGGTTCTGCTGACGGAAGACGAATGTTGATTAAAACAAAGTTTGGCGGGTAAACCAACACCTGAGGAGGCTGCAGGACGCTGAACAGACCGCGTCACTCCATCACCAGCGTTTTGCATCATTTTGTACACGTTTCCCATAAATTCACCTCCAGCAGTGTTCGGTACCGGCTCAGAGACGTCTGTCATGTGGCCTCCGACTGGTTTTTGTCAGAAGTCAAAAAGGTTGGAAATCTTGAACAACGTATTTTAAAAGTTTGATTTTCAAGATTCAGGAGATTTACTGTCACGAGCACAGAAAACGAGACGGTGGTTGATTCTCCTTCACCAGATGTACACAATGTACAGTCCTACATGAATATAAAACAGTTGGACATGAATAGAAAACAGTTGGACATATATATATAATACAGTCCTACAGTCTTACACTGACAGCAGCACCGTTCATCTGTAAACTGTGGTTGTCTGCAGTGACTACAGTCGTGGTGATAAAGTGCACGTACGATCCGCAGTGTAAAATCTTCATCCTACAGATAATTAAAAATGCCATTTAAATGCAGAGACAGTCTAATATTTCTCTGTGAACATGGTGGACAGGAAGCATAAAGAAGCATAAAGTGGAAATACTCTGATGAAGCAGATTCAGCTGCTGACCATCAGCCCTCTGTCTCATGTTCTTGGACTTCTAATTTCAGATATAAAACACAGTTCAGACTGAGTGTTCGGCAGCACTAAGTCCTCCTTCAGGGCCTTTATGAATCTCAAACATGTCACACGAAGCTGCATTTTCCTCCAAACCCAGTGAGCTCATGGGAGCTTTAAGGATGAATAAACGATGCACAGATCCGGTTGCCATCACGTGTTTCATACTTTCACTATTTATCCTAAACTAGTCCATCTCATCTGAACCAAAACCCTGACTTACCTTTTTATTGCTTTCGTCCTGTCACATCCATACCGGCTCCTGAAATAATCCGGTCGATACCTTCCGTTCGGTCCCTCCCGGTGACTCACCTGTCTCTCACCTGCGCCTTCACCTGCGGATCGATCCTACCGTAAAGTCTGGACGCAGCGCGCACAGAGGAATCACGTGTCCAGGAGCGGCAGGTGGTGGAGGAGCAGCGGCAGTTTGCTTTTTAGAGATCAGCACTTTGCCTGCTGCTTATGGGAGCCTCAGCGGTGTTTTAATGAGTTTAGGGCCAATTAAAGCCCCAATTGAAGCTCAGATGTCACTTGAGGCCAAATGAAGTGTGCAGCAGAATCAGGCTGTTTGAAAGTCCTGGTCTGGTTCTGAAACAGTGCAGCTCTGATGAACACCCTTTATTTTACACATGTTAAGCTCTAAGGGCTGAACCATGTTTGTCACAACTAGTTCATCTTATTGAGCTTTTCTTACGTTTAAATGATGCCACATACCTTCTGTTAGAGCCCATTATTTAGCTGGAAGCCCAAGAACAAGCCGGAGACATCTTCAGTTGTCAGATGTAGAATTTATTTTAGGTCACAGGTAAAGTGAGGCGCTGCTGGATTCAGAGGGACAGAGAGGAATCTCATGTCCAGCTGAACTGAGGTTTTTCAGCTCCAGGTTACAGATTTCTTCTCGGGCTGGACCTGCCCCGAACATAGATACGATTTGTGCGCTACCGAGTTTAATTGGCCAGTTGCTAATGACGTGGACAGGCTTCTGCGCTCTGTCCACGTCCTTGATATGTGGTAAGTAACATGTGTGGATGTTGTTGGTACGGCGTGTAGCTAAAGTAAGAATCCTATCTGATAGAACAGAGGAGCTTCTGCTGTCTCATGGTGTGTGGACCGGTTCTCACCGGCCACGTTATCTTCAAGGACGTACGCTGTCCTGTGTAGGAAAATATGAAACAGAATTACAGCTCAGTGCAAGATACAGACTCAGAATACATAATAGCTCGAAACTTAATTCATTATAAGAACCATAAGCTTCATGGAAAAATACAGACTCAGAATACATAATAGCTTGAATCATACTTTATTATAACACTTCATTAACGGTCAAAGAAACACGTGGACTCTGGTTCTTTCTCAGAAGGTCAGAGGTCAAATGGACAGCAGGGGAACCTTATTTTGAAACCCAAAAGCGGTTATATTAATGACCTACAGCTGCCGTTGAGCTGTGAGGATCTATATGTGTCACATTTAAGGTGTAAAAATACAAAAACAACCTACAAGGAGTGTCATTAAATCCAGTTATTCATTTCTCATGAGTGAACAAAAGCATTTACTTACACATTCGGACGGCGCCGCTATGACCAAATGTTCTGCTGAAACATGTCAAACACCAGAAATTCAAACAGGATTCGAGGGGATACGGCTGAATACAAGATTCATTCAAAAGTAGAGAAATAAAGCCTTAATTACAACATGTATAAAACAAACAGGGGGAACGCCCATCTGGTCATTTCAACGCCGTGAAAGTCTTAAAATCCCCGTCGTTGTATTTTGGGATGTCCTCTGTTGGCATGTTTCTGCGTTTAAATGTTCTCCATCATGTTTGACGGGAAGAAATGGCCTTCAGGTCACCAGAGCTCAGGCATCAGATGGAGATGCATCTTTGACGTGACAACAGGTAAACAGCAGTCACTTCCTGAGCCCAGCGTTTCAGGAGAGGACAGAAATAGAGGCTTCATGTTTTATTTAGCAGACAGCAGACAGACTGCCAAACCTGAGCTGACAGCTGAATGCACTGCACGTAATTAAAGAGGGGGAAAGAAAGTCTTAAGCAGCTGCCAAACGACTGGAGCTCCCTGCGATGGAGGCAATTTGGAGATGAACTGCAGCAAAAGATGGAAAGGGGATTGAATTAAAGTGCACTTTTTAATGGAAGTGCATGATGTGTTGATTTCAGTCTGATTGTACTGAGTGTGACGGAGCATCTCAGCAGAGGTCATTTTGTCGAGTTACAAACGAGCTTCGTGCAGCCAGAAGTCGCTCTGCGTTCTGGCAGGTTGAGTGATGTCTTCTGATGACCTGACTGCCAGGAGGCGCAACATCACGCAGCTCGATTTAAAAAGCAGGTGATGCAGCAGTGATTCTTTTCTGCAAATCTGCTGAATGCTGGAGACGACATGCAACCAGGAGGAGCGCTGGTGTTTCCTCCCACTCATTCCTCCTCTCTGTGAAAACCTGCAGCTTGCCACAATGCAAAGCTTCAGGTGGCTCTCACATCTCGTAGCAGCATTTTGCACTTTGCTGTAGCTTTTTATTGATCCATACGGTGGCGTCTGCTCACATGCAAACAAGCAACACGATGCAAAACAACAAACAGCACAAATAAATGTAACTGTAAAGTGAACCGCAGAAGGCTAACTAGATCCGCCCGAACCCGCCGCCGTCGTTCCTCTGCTGCTCATTTGTTACTTCAGCGCTCGGTGTGATAAAACGCTTGAGTTACTCTCTCATTAAATGCTGCCCAGCACATCCATGAATCACAGTCAGCAGGGAGCCGTCACCTCGTCTCACCCGCTGCAGCAGAACGGACCTCGCTGGTCTGCAACCTTGCCGGGTGAACCTCGCCGTGAGGAAGTAAGATGAGCAGCACCACGAGGTCCCAGAGCGACGGGGAAACTGTGCAAACTGAGCCGCTGGGATGCGAGACAAGAGGAGAATCATGGTGAAGCATCAAAGCAGACAGCTGACTAGGTTTGAGCAGGAAAAGTTCCACTCACAGTTGCTCACAGTTGGTCTGCTCGGAGGCTTGACCTTCGCTGTGCACAGAATGCTGCATGAGTGCAACACCGAAGAGGAAAAGAAGAGGAGAAGCATCAGACAAATTACTTTTACACGTCACATTCACTTTGGAAGACAATATTTCTTTTTCTAATCTAAGCTAGCTTTTGGATTTTTGCACGGTGTCTTGGTGGTTAGCACCGTCGCCTCACAGCTACAAGGTCACCGGTTCACATCCCGGTGAGGACACCCGGGATCTTCCTGCGTGGAGTCTCCATGTTCTCCCCGTGCAGCGTGGGTTCTCTCCGGGTTCTCCGGCTTCCTCCCACAGTCCAGAACCTCCGACGT